AGTCACAGGTGCCTCTGTGACATTGACCTCTTCCCTGTCCCCGAACCCCTTCAATAGAACCAAAGAAGCCCCTGGACTGTGCCAAGTGGGAGCCCCTGGCTTGGTTGCAGATGGCGGCACGAAGGACGCAGTTGCTGGGTTAACTGGAAGGAGCTGTCCTGCTGGCCTTTCCCAGACTTCATTCAAGCACCGAGATGCTGAACTTTGAGCCTTTGTTCTCTAACTCAGTTGTTTTATTCATTCAACAAATGTTTTATTGAATACTTGCTCTGTTCCAGACAGTGTTCTAGGCACCAAGCATACAGCAGGGGTCCATCAGACTTGTCCTGGCCCTCCAGGCCCTCCAGGCCCCATGGGTACAGGGCTTAGAGCATGAGCCTCACCCCCCCATGCTGTTTCCAGGTCAGATTTTCTCTTCTTGGGCCACAGCTCTGCTCTGTCCCTGTGGAGGTGAAGGTCAGGTCATGGTGGGGCAGACCTACTGGTGTGAGCCCCACCGCAGGAACCATGTCTCAGTGCAGGACCACTGATCCCCACAGATGCCCCCTCTGTGGTGTGTGCTGTGTGCCATGTTCCAGCTCGGTTTCAGGCCCATGAAAAGATTCTTAAAATTAACTTTTGAAACTGGCTTCTCTTCATCCGGACTCTCAGTGACAGTGCAGCCTGCAGAGCTCGGTGAGCAGGACTTGCCCAGTGTTTCCTCCTGGCCAGTGCTGGTGGGCCAGCGGGGCCCTGCCCCTGTCCATGGTTCGGGACTGGGTGGCCAAACTCGGCCGAACCCAGCTGTGTGGTCTCATTAGCAAAGAGCAGGTCTCTGGACCAAAGAGGGGAGTAGGAGTGACCTGCTGTGAGGTGGGCAAAACGTAGGCCTGCAGTCGGAGCTGGGCATGAGTCCCACTCTGCCAGGTGACCCTGGGTGCCCTAGGGCAGGGGTGTGGCCGATGCTTTGTAGAAACTGGAAGCCACACGAGCAGCTCCGAACCCCAGCTGGGCCTTGGGAGAGCCTTGCTTCCTGTACGGCGGATGGGAGGGAGGCGATACTCTTGATCCACACCGCGAACGATCTTATTCCCACCTTGACTGCCGGCGGTCAGTCCTCCTGGAAGGAGACACTGGCAGTGGGGCTTGGCAAGAAACAAGCCATTTGTCATGGCCGTGTGCCAGCCTGCATGTCGTCCCGCAGCCTGTCCTTGGGAAGTCTTGCCCGCTTGTCATGTGGAGTAGAACATCTGTGTGCGTGCAGGCGTGTGTGTGTGTGTGCATGTCTGTGTAAGAGAAAAGTGTCCACACACCTGATGAGACAGTCCCCCAGAGGAGGCAGCATTGATGCGGGGGGATTAGAGGTCCTAAACTATACTGGGTTGAATATTGTCTCCCAAGATTCATATCCACCCAGAACCTTAGAATATGACTTTATTTGGAAATAGTATTTTGAAGATGCAATTACTTAAGCTCAGGTCATATTTGATTAAAGGGGACCCTAAATCCAATGACTGGTGTCCTTATCTGAAGAGTATAGACACACAGAGACATACAGGGAGACTGTCACACGAAGACAGAGGCAGAGTTGGGAGTGACGTGTCTATAGAGCAAGGACCACTAAGGGTTGCTGGCAAGCACCAAAAGCTAGGAGAGGCGAGGACTGGCTTTCTCTCCCCTTAGAGCCTCCACAGGGAACCAGCCCTCCAGGTGCCTTGACTTCGGACGTCCGGCCTCCAGACTGAGGCGGTACGTTTCTGTTGTTTCCAGCCCGCCCATTGGTGTGGGAAAGGAACCAAGGACCCAGACCCAGACCCTGACTTTCTGACCCCTGTTTTCTCCATCTGCAAAGTGAGGTATTGAACTAGAACGGGAGTGACACACATTTTCTGTAAGTAGCCAGATGGTAAATACTTTAGACTTTGCAGGCCTAAAATAAAATTTTTTTAGGACAGAAATAAATTTTAATTCATTAGAAGGTACAGCAGCGGACAGGGTCCTTTGAAGGGTGTTTTCTAAGTCAGATGAGTGAGATGACACAGAGCCAGGGCGGAATCCCTTCTTGGAACAGACGATGCAAACACGGGAATTCAAGCATTCAGTGGGACCTAACTGGTGGTGCAACTGAAGACCCCAGTACTCCCGTCTAGTTCCGTTGGTGGATCAGTTTAAATACCCTTTGCTTTCTCTTAATAAGTGTTGCTTACTTTTGCTTTGCTTTGTTGTCCTTGTTTGTCATTTGTTTTACGGTCCTTTCAAAATGCAGAAAACTATTCTGGATCCTGGGCTGGATTTGGCTCACGGGCCGCAGTTTGCCAGCCGAGACTTGAGGCATTAATTCCACCCGTAGGGCGCCCCAGACACACTCACCGTCCATCATCAGGGCACACGGTCATGGTTCTGCCTCTGGGCCACGTGCTGATGGGGGAGGAGCCAGCCTGGAGCCCCCAGGCGTCAGTTTTCAGAACTGTCAGTGGGCATGATGGCTGGTTTTCTTGCATGAAGGCCACAGGGGACAGCGGTAGGCAGGCCGCCTCCCTGTGTCCGTGCCAAGGCCCGTCTCTTGTTCAGCCTCACCCCCTGGTGCTGGGCACAGGGCCTGGCACATCACAGGAGCTCAGGGGAGAGTTGTCTGAAGAGTGAAGGACTCTTCTGGAAGCCCTCTCTGGGCTGGGGGCTTCTCTGAGTTCCCCCTTCCGTGGCAGTGACTTCAGTGTTGTCATTGTCCCTTTGGGAGGACGGGCGCTTCGGTTGAGCCATCTCTGTACAGTGTTTGATGACACAGAGGAGTCAGCCCAAGTGAGGTACGTCTGCCAGGCGATGTCAGCGCCCCCACCCCGACCCTGACCCTAGCACAGCCAGAAGTGCCGGGGCCCAGGTTCAGTCCTGCAGACACAGGATCTCCAGAAGGAAGTGGTCTCTAAAAGCAGCACGAGCTGGTGCTGGCAGCATGGAGTTTGGGAGCACACAGACCCGAATTTGAATGCTGGCTTTGCTGCTTGGCAGCTGTGTTACCCTGAGTGAACGTCTTAACCTTGCTGGGCTTCAGCCTCCTCTGCAGGAGGGCAGAGCAAGCCCTCCCTGTCAGGTCTGTCCTGAGGACGGGGCGAGGTGTGCCCAGCAGAAAGCAGCCTGGCGCATGGGGGTGCCTGCTCTTAGCAACAGCTCTGTCGTTAGGTGGCTCTGAATGGTAAAGCCGCGTTTCTGTCAGGCCCGTGCTCTCTCCAGCGTGGGTGTGTGTCCCCTGCCCGCTTGGAACTCTCCCATCCTAGCTCTGTCCAAGGGTTGCCATGGCCACCCCATTGTACAGATGAAGAAATAGGCTCAGCGAGGGAGTGGCCTTTCCTGAGGCCACGAGGGGAGGCAAATGGCAGAATGGGGACCCCAGGCCGGTCCTCCTCCGGCCCTCTCCTCCCTGACCTGAATTACTGCCTGCCTGATCAAAGCACTGTCCCAGCCGTGGACCGTCAGGCACACGGGCTGGAGCTAAGGGAAGCCTCCATCATCTCATTGGACTGATCGGCAGAAGTCTGTTTGGAATGCTGCCATTTGAGGTGTGGTGACCCCAAACACCTCCATGGCGGCTGCTCCAGGCACCCGCCCTCCCCCGCCCGCTCCGCATGCGTGCACACACCCGGATCCCATCCTTAATCAGAGCCTCCGGTTCTGAGAGGGCCTGCTTGCTTGCTCTGACTAGGAGACAGCTTTGAATTATTGCAGCGAGGCTGAGGCCATGGACTGGGGTCCCTGGGGCCCCCTCCCTGAGACAATCTGCAGGAAAATGTGTTTACGCAGAAGCTGGAGCAGCGTCCAGACGGAACCCGGCAGGCGGGGCTCTGGAAACGTACCCAGTTGAGTTGCCCTGGGGGTTCTAGGAGCCTGGCGTCTCGTCAGTATGTTGCATGGGGGGGGGGGCTGGGTGCTACTTGGGAGCCCCAAACCAGGTCACGGAGAGGGAGGAGCGCCAGGAGCCCCAGGGAGGGTGGTGCTGCTTCTTCTTTAAAAAATTTTTTTTCTTTAATTTTTATTGAAATATAGTTGATTCACAGTGTTTCAGGGGTACAGCAAAGTGATTCAGTTATACATATGTATTCTTTTTCAGGTTCTGTCCCATTATGGGCTGTTACACGCTATTGAACATAGTTCCCTGCGCTCTGCAGCAGGTCCTTGTGGTTTACCTAGGGTGGTGCTTCTTATTGGAAGCTCCCCAGGAGGCCTGCAGCCTGCGTCTGCAGGCAGTGGAATTGGGGGGGCCACGCCCTTACTGATGTAACCCAAGGAGGAACCAGCTGAAAATCTAGTCCCCGGGGCTAAGAGCCTCTTTTTGTTTTCTTATCTAGAAGAAGCAGCAGCACCACCACCCTGCCTCCCGTCACTTTTCACTTACCCACGCCCCCACCCTTTGTGACGTCCTTGCAGGGGGCCCAGAGCTCGGGGTCAGACCGCAGCGAGACACTAGGCAAAGGAGTCAGCAGGGGGAGGCAGCAGGGAGAGGCAGAGCAGCACACCTGGCCCCTCATTGTGGACACCGAGTGCCTGGCTTAGGTGTGCTGGCCAAGTGGGCTTCTGAATGCTGAGCCCCAGAATTTGTCTAGCATACCCACCCATCTCTGAACTGGCAGGCAGGCAGGCGCAGAGCAGAGCTGGCCCTCCTGGGCGCTGGGCTCCCAGGAGGAAGTGGGGAGGAGGGGCGGGGCTCCTTACGCCCAGCCCTCCTTCCATATATACAGATCAGAGTGGGTCATCCTCCTTCCCGAGGAGGGGAGAGGCCAGGAGCGTACTGCAGAGGACACAGCAGGAGTCTGGAAGAAGCATCTTCCCTGCTCCCCCAACCCTGTCAGATGGTCCCCGCCATCCTGCGGGGTGGTATCGGTGTGGCTCTGTGTTCGGAGCCAAAATCTTGAGAAACAGAAAGATCTGGATACAGAGTGGCATTTGTGCAGCCAGAGGGCAGGTGGGCAGCCCAGGCCTGGCCAGTAGGTCAGTGTGACTGGAGCAGAGGTGAGGGAGGGGTAGCGGGGATGGCGAGAGACAAGCTGGACCCAGTGCAGGGCTCCTACGTCATCGAGGAGGTGGTGGCTGGTCGGCTGTTTGGGAAAGCTCAGGCTGGAGGGGGGATGGGGTGGGTGAGACCAGAGGCAGTTGGGGGTGAGCTAAGCTGGCAGAGGCTGGGCGGGGGGGGAGGGTCCCAGAGGAAACTGACGAGGGACATCTAGATGACAGGACAGACAGGCGTGCTGCTGGATCGGCTGCGGCATTTTCATTGGGTAGTGGAGTCAGACTTGGGTTTGAATCCTGGATCCCTTGGAAGCTGGATGACTTTGTGAAGTTGTATGACCTCTCTGAACCTCAGTTCTCTCTCTGTAGAATGGGGGACTCCCCGCTGCGGGGTTGTGTGCATGTAAAGCATGCAGCCCAGGGCTGGGCATACGGGTCACCTGCCGATCGCAGTACCTGGCCCGCATGTGATTGCGAGGGAGGTGGGAGTGGATGTTGATGTGACCCCAGCTTAAAGGCCAGGCTGGTGGGCAGAGGTGGCAGAGGAGTGGGTTTGTTCTGGAGGATGGTGGGCTCAGGCCTAGACATCTTGAGTTTAAACTGCTGGTGAAAATCCAAATGGAAAGACCCAATTTGACAAGCAGGGATTGGAACAAAATATCAGACCTGAGGCCCTTATCACTTGGCCTGTGGATACAGGAGCTGGACGCTCTGTGTGGGCTCAGCTGACAGCCCCGGGACAAAAGGGGACACTAGTAAGGGGAGAGTGGGGGGGCATATATTCTTACCCCCACAGCTACCTGGAATTGGGTTGGGTTGTACAAAAAGGTAATGAGTTCCCCATCAAGGGAGGTATGAGAGTCTTGGCTGAGGTCCACTTGGGGGGCCATGGAGTGAGGACACCAGAGAGAGTCAGAATGGTTGACCTTCAAGGGTCCTCCGAGTGTCCGCAGCTCTTCAGTGCCCTTGGCCGCTGCCCCAAATCTGCACAGCATTCAGGACATAGCGGTGCTTCCGGAAGTGTGACTGTCGCCATGGCCCAGACCCACTTGAGCCTCGGGCTGGGCAGAAACAGTAAAGCAGGCGCAAATTTGCCTTTAAAATAAGATGCTGAGCACCCGCCAAATACAAATGAATTTAAACAGCTGGAAGTCTCACCTTGAGATGTGTCATTGGTGGTTTCAGTGGGGCTCTGGGCTGCCCCGGGCTGGAATGGTGGATGTGGATCTGCTGGCACTGGTGGATTGAGGCTCCTTTTTTGGGGCAAATGATTGGCAACGTGGCACTGACCACAGAGTCACTGATTCCGATGAAGAGAGTGTAATGAAGCCACTGCGGTTGGGGCCAAGGCTGGGGGAGGAGGATGAAGGCCACTGGGAGATGAGGAAGGAGTGAGCAGGGGCTTCAGGGGATGGTGAGGGGTTGGGAGCTGGCGGTCCTGAGTGGGAACTCCAGCTCTGCCGCTTGCCAGCTGTGGCCCGGGCCAGTCACTTCACTTCTCGGGGCCTCAGTTTCTCCATTTGCCAACAAGAGGATTGTTGGGGTGTCAAAAAAAAAACGCAGGTGATGCCCCAGCCTGCAGTGGAGATCTGGGTCTGCTTACTGCCACCATCACAGGAAAGCAGGCCCGCACTCTGTGTAGACAGAGAAGGCGGCCGGGGTCTTCCCACCAGGGGTTAGCTCCTGGCTCTCATGGCCGTGCCAAGACTAGCACCCACGGCCTCCCGGATGGGCACCCAGCAGCATCCCCCTGGAAGTTTAATTAGGGCTTGAGATGGGTTGTGCTGGGGCCCCCAGTGGTACTTCATCAGTGATAAAACGGCCAAGTGTGCGCCCCCAAGTAGCTGAATGACAGAGGGCTCAGCCTCAGCTGGTGGGGGGGGTGTGCATGTGTGAGTGTGAGTACGAGTGTGTGTGCATTCTGCCTGTTCTGGAGGAAACAGCAGGAGATCTTCAAGAAATGATTGGGTCTCAGTCCCATGAGTTGAGGGGAGGGGGAGGCGCGACTGTTAGAGTCATCTGTGGTGCTTGGCCAGCCTCTCTCACACGGGGCTTTAGATGAGGATGCTGTTGGATTTGGAGAGAAGACAAAATGGTTCAGTTTCAAGTGCACAAAAGCACTGGGTCAGGCTTGAGTCCTGACTCTGCCCTCAGAAGCTGTGCTGCTTGGGCATTTCTTTGTTTTATTCAGGCACACAGAGTCAACTAAGGAGCACCTACTGTGTGCCCGGGGGCCTAAGAGTGCAAATCCCCATAATATTTGATGGGACATTTAGCCTCCCCGAGCCTCGTCGTCCTCACCTGTGAAATGGGGCAACACCACCAGCCGTGAGGGTCATCTTGAGGGGAGGGGAAGAAGAACAGCAGCAAAGTCTAGCAGGACGCCCCACACACTGTTTCTGAATAAATATTATGTTCCATCTCTTTATCTCCTCCTTGCTGCACCTGACTGGCAGGTGATTAATTATCAACTTCTGAAGTTGTAAGAGGACAGCTTTTTTTTTTTTAATGTCAGCAAAACTGACCTTTTATCCAAGGTGGCTTTTAAAAACCATCCAGTGAGGATTTCCCAGGCTCCCTCTGTGTGCTCCTCAC